CAGCGGACGAGTTGCACCGCGTATTGTAGCAATTTAGCGTCAAGTTAAACAGGATGTGCTACAGTACGTCTCACATTGTACGATAAGTACCGCGCTCGTCCGCCGGCCCATATACTCGAAAATCGGCGTGTCCACCCGGCTCACTTAACACCAATGACTATATGTGATCAACTCAAGACAGACTACAAAAACGTGTGACTAAAGCATGACGTCGTACGGACGATGATAATCGATAAATCCGTGCACAAATCAATAAGACAATGTTTGTGAAACTATCTAGAACTGGGCTGCGAACGAGACCGATTAGATCGATAACAACGGAGATCAACGACATGTAATATAATGTCAAATGCTTTACGACACCACAGAGACAAAGAGTTGATGAGAAAAGCACGAGACAACGACGTCAAATAGAAAAAAAACCACCAATCAAATGAAATTTTTAACAATAGGAAAACAATCAAGTGTTAAAATATTAAAGTTAAAGCAACAAAAATTCCACCAATAAAACATACACAACTGGATAAGAAGTCGCAATCTCGTGGTCCTTCTCGCGGATCACAGCAGAGTGCAGACGGTCAGAGTCATGCATAAACTCTAACCTTGCATGTCATGTCAGCAATATTTCTCTTCGTCACTTGCACAACATCAACAGTCAAGGAATGATAAGGAAATTAGATCGCAGCCCAGTAAGGTGAAGAAATTGGATGACATAATCGATAATTCTATGAGGGTAGCAAAAAAGAGAATTTGAAACCGAGGAGAAAAAACAGATTCCTAGCAGTGAAATGATGAATTCAAAAACATTCAAGAAACAGCCAAGTGTTAAACACTTTCTCAGCTCATTTTCGAAACAAAAATATAAAAAAGTGCTAAGCAGTACAGTAAAACAGAGATACTAAATAAATCTTGCTCTTGTCAAAAGTATAATAGAAGTTGCTAAATTGAACAAGCTCGTATATAATCACAGCCCACCAGCATATGTAAACTCATGCTTAAGACTGGCGCTGGCCACCAGGAACAACTGCCAAGGATTTTTCGACAGAGGCCGTATTTGTCCCGGATGGAGAAAGGGGGCCGTATTTGGGGTAGGTAGGATAGGTAAAATTTGCAGTTTTCGCAATCACATTTCCCCCTCGTTCCGAGTATTCCGATAGAGGGTTACGAAAGGGGATTGCGTACTGCCGCGACCCCACCTGCTTGTCAATAAGACCAGCTATGCATCTCCAGCATGAACTTCTGTGGTCTGTATAGCGCTGTTTTAGGGCAGTAGTGTTCTTATGCTGGCTTAAGTCTCTATTCCACAGCAAGTAAGGAAAAAGAGATTCTCTAAAACCTATGAGTAATTTGCCAATTATCTGTAAAACACGAAGGCCTCATACTTAGCTAAAAGAAGCCGGCTTCCCAACAGACGTGGAGATAGTGCATATGATGGAGAAATAGAGACGGTTAGAAACAGAAATGCTCGGAGAACCTCCTCTTTGTATCTCCTAACACCCCACGACGTGAAAATGGCCGGCAACTATAATATTTGCCGGAAGAGAATGAAACGACTTCTGAGAGTTCCAACGTAGGCAGCGTTGACTAGAGGTAGTACGAAGAGATTATCAACCAGAAGTGGAAGGAAGGATATAGAAGAAAGGTATCTGTTCAACACAAACTATCATGGATATATAGCACTTTTAACAAGAATCTCTTATATTATCATGCTGATGACATCAGCATAGACAGCACCGAGCTACATAAGTAAGATGAGATCTGCACTTCATGCAGCACTTTGGTCCTCATGAAACGTGTCTCATGGTGAAGGCGTTCCAATCGCTTATAAGCCGGAAACGAGAGGACCACATTTACCAAGCCACACGACGGTGGTGATTAAGGTAATAGCTAAGGCTTCTAGCGCCCCTAATCACGGAACACGTTTCATGGTAAAGAACATTACAGCGTAAAATCAACAACTGCATTCACAATTGATACTGGAATGAGGTACGATAGTGGCAAGATAAGGCTAGGCGTTTGGGAGAATTCTTATTTTCTATATCGTTTGATGTCATCAAAATGACTGAACCTCTTCAGTGAGCGGTTTCTTACGTCACTCCGTCAGAGAATCAGCACGAGGAGATTCCGGTGCAAACACCTCTGACTGTTGTGAGGATTCCTCACTTTCTTCTGGATCCGCGTTCAGCATACCAAGGAGTTTGTCCTTCATTTGGAAGCAATTCTCATACGTCACCACGTCGTCAGGCTGGAATTCAACTGTATTTTGTAACGTTAGCACAAATTGTTAGGTTCATTATTAGTGCTCTCAACCTTTGACGACTTTGATGTGAAGATGACTATAGAATTTTGGGGCAATAAGGGGTGAGTAGTGCCCGAGTAGGATTACTTATCTCTCGCAGAAGTAGCCATTCAATGTTATGTTTTTTACAGCTGAAAGTGATCACTCACCATTGCCCATTTCAGAATAATGGTTAATTCCGACCGGAATTCGTCCTCGCACAACTTTCGCATTTGCTCTTTGTCGCTTCGACGAAGCATTCGCAGCTCATCTCGCTCGCGGCAGACCTACAACAATACTTGATGGCATTTTATATTATTCAATATTTACACAATTTCATACCTTTAACACATGTTCCTTCCCATAAGTTCCTGCCAAACTGCTCCATGTCTTGTTCAAGCAGCTCATCCTCACCCATTCGTCGAAATCGATCAGCGTATGACACCCCCTGAAACAGTAAACCATAAGAATTTCTATAAGATTTCCTACAGAAATGCAGGCGCAAAAACAATTATCCCACTGCATATCACGTGGTGACAATGCGCGTCCGCTCAGAAGAGAATTTTTCAATTTACTCACCATTTTTCCCAGTTCCAAAAAAGCCAAGACATCTTTTCGGGAAAAAAATTGCTCGCTTGAATACTAACAGAATTATAGGTGAATTCCTAGCTAAGGATGGAACACGCAGAAGTGTAGGGTGATCCTTGCATAAAGGGCGGTCCACAGTGTGATAGAGTGGATATTATGCGATCACCATTCCGACAGTGCTAATGACGGCATTAATGGCGTGGTGTGGTTCGCTAGGACAGGAAGCTACTTTTTCACGTTTCCCAGCGCGAACAGCGAAAAATGTTTTGCGCTGCGGAACGCGAAAAAGCGGCTTTCTGTCCTAGCGAACCACCCCGTTGATGGTGTTGGATTCCTTTATGTTCCACGTGGAGTGCATATATCCAAT